TTACCCTCTATATGCTTCCTTTGGGCGATCTTATCAGGAAACACCGCATAAACTTCCATTGTTGTGCAGACGATACTCAACTGTATCTGTCGATCAAGCCAGAAGAGACGGACCAGCTAGTTGGACTTCAAGAATGTCTTGGAGACATCAAAACTTGGATGACCGGCAACTTCCTGATGCTAAACTCAGAAAAAACGGAAGTTATCCTGATAGGCCCAGAGCGCCTTCGAAGCCAGCTGTCACGTGATACAGTTTTTATGGATGGAATAATTGCTCTGGTACCCAGCAGCACCGTCAGGAATCTGGGAGTTCTCTTCGACCAGGATATGACCTTCAACTCTCATAAAAGAAGACTTCAAGGACTGCCTTTTTTTTATTTACGTAACATATCAAAAATCAGGAACTTTCTGTCTCAAAGTGATGCAGAAAAATTAGTTCATGCGTTTGTCACTTCCAGACTGGACTACTGTAATTCTTTGTTATCAGGCTGCTCTTGTAAATCTCTTAAGCATCTCCAGTTGATTCAGAATGCTGCAGCACGTATATTAACAAGAACTAAGAAAAGGGATCATATTACTCCTCTATTAACTTCTCTGCACTGGCTCCCTGTTAAATCAAGAATAGATAGGTACTTTCTCACTTACAAGGCACTTGCTGGTGAGGCACCGTCGTATCTTAAAGAGCTTGTAACACCTTATTGCCCTACAAGGCAGCTGCGCTCCATAGATGCTGGGTTACTTGTTGTTCCTATGGTATTAAAAAGTAGGCTGGGGTCCAGAGCCTTCAGTTATCAAGCTCCTCTTTTGTGGAACCAGCTTCCACTTTCAGTCCGGGGAGCAGATTCGGTCACCTCTTATAAAAAAGGTAAAGCTTAAAACTTTCCTCTTTGCTTATAATTAGGGCTGGCTCAGGTTAGCCCAGACCAGCCCTTAGTTAAGCTGCTATAGGCTTGGACTGCTGGGGGACTTCTTAGGACACAAACCAACATTACCCTCTCCTAAAGTCTCTGTGCTCTCCCTCCCCACAGGCTTCTGTGGATGGTGGCTCTATCTGATGGTGGTTGCCCCTGCAGTGGTCCTGCTGTGCGCCTGGCTTACTACTCACAATTACTTGAATCATTTCTGTCATAGGAATTGCATGTATTATATATTGTTCATTCTGTACACATGGCATCCATTGTAGTATGTCCATCCCGGGAGGGGGAGCCCTCATCTGACCTTCTCCCTAAGGTTTCTTCCCTTTTTTCCCTGAAGGTTTTTTTTCGTTTGGGTTTCGGGACAGAGGATGTTGTATGTGTACAGACTGTAAAGCCCTCTGAGGCAAATTTGTAATTTGCGATTTTGGGCAATACAAAATAAAATTAATTGAATTGAAGAAGGCTCAGCAAAGGTTGTTCTTCCTGAGGCAGCCGAAGAAATTCAACCTGCCAAAAACGATGATGGTTCTACACGGCAATCCTTTGCTCCTCCATCACCGTCTGGTATGCTATGGCCCCTTCCATCTGGCAGGAGGCTGCACTGAAAAATGTGTTTGTCTTCATTCCAAATGCATAAAAAAATACTTTGCTCAATTAAATTAAATTTTAATCAAAGCATTTTTATTAGACTGAGTGATTCGCGCATGCGCATTCTTTAAAAGTTCTGGCGGCTATTTCCACCTCGATCTTCCATTGAAGAAGACATTGTGAAAAATACCAGACCCTATGGCATTTTGGTAACGATAAGGTAAGTCATTCCGATTTTTAAAGATGACTGGGTGTACATTTTAGCCCCCAGACAAAGAGTCTGTCTGAAGTTTGTGCTTTTGTGGGCAATTAATCGTTTGGGTAGGATTGCCGCTTGGGGGAGGGAGGCGAGTGAGGTGGGAGCAGACAGGCAGGAGAAAGTGGAATAAGGGGAGTAGGGATGTCACGAGAACCGATACTTACAGTACCTTTCGATACTAAAATATCAAAACACCTACGATGCCTATTTTTTTGAAGTACTGTGAGTGCCGATGCCGGTTGGCGGCAGTATACGCTTCAGTGTTCCAGTCAACGTTTACATTCAGAAAACTCAGAAAAGCGTATACAGCGTTAGTGTAATCTAGATGTATTTTTAAGTTGCTTCATAACCATTGTTTTCGTTCGGCCGACTCTGCTGTAATGTTTAATTGTGTAGGGTCAAAGATGACAGCAGGTGTCACCATCTCACCACTGGGGGGGGGGTGTGTGTCTGTGCATCGTACTTGTGCTTCCGTGGGAACTAAGAAGAAGAACGGCTGACGGGTGACTGACGTTGCACAAACATCACCGCCATTAGATTAAACTTTATTGTCATTGCACAGAGTACAAGTACTGAGGCAACGAAATGCAGTTTAGCATCCAACCAGAAGTGCAAAATAGCAAAAAGTGTAGAATATGTGCATATGTAAAGTGTAATAAGTGAATAAATAGATATGTACAGTAAGAAAGATATGCAATATGAACAGTAATTGGGACAAGAATAGCAGCAATTGAGGTAAGAAGTGTAGGTATGATAAGTATATGTAAAGTGCAGGTGTAAGTATTAGTGCTGGTAATAAGTGAGATGAAGTGAAAGAGGTATTGTAGGTGTAAGTACGATTAATACAGTAATAAGTGGTAGAAAAAAACATTCTGGTGCAAATGTTCAGTGGCTGGAGGAGGGTGTGGCAGTCAAGCCAGGGTGGAGGGGAAGTACAGTAACTGAGGGAGATGTGTGTGTGGGGGTGGGGGGCAGAGTTCAGAGTTCAGGGGGGGCAGAGTTCAGTAGAATGACAGCCGCAGGGATGAAGCTGTTCCTGAACCTGCTGGTCCGGGAACGGAGCACCCTGTAGCGCCTCCCTGAGGGGAGGAGGGCAAACAGTCTGTGGCTGGGGTGAGATCGACGCTTTCTTCCTGAAGTCCACAATTAGCTCTTTGGTCTTCTTGGTGTTGAGAGCCAGGTTGTTGTCGGCGCACCACACCGCCAGGTGCGGGACCACTTCTCTTAAAAAACGGTTTACTTTTATATGTATTTAAAGTGAGATTCTTTCGGTTATGAAACGCTGTTCAAGAAAACAAGTTACGCTTCTTAGTTAATGGAAATTATATTGAAAAGTCGTTGTAAATAGTGTTGTTAGGCTAATGCTGTATGTTTTTCTGACTGTTATGGAGAAGCCTGTGTATTCTCATATTCGGATGGGTGAAGAAGAACAAGAAGGGCTGACTGACGTTCAGACACCACCACCACCATTAAAACGGTTTACTTTTATATGTATTTAAGGTGTCCGCTGCTGTTCTTTGACGCGCCACCGAGAGGAGGGCAACAGTAGCATCTCTACAGAATCGTTATAACCAGGCCAATTTGAAACAGCTGATAAAGTGCATCCGGAAAGTATTCACAGCGCTTCACTTTTTCCACATTGTTAGGTTACAGCCTTATTCCAAAATCGATTAAATTCATTATTTTCCATTACATTCTACACACAACAACCCATAATGACAATGCGAAAACTTATTTTCAAATCTGTTAAAAATAAAGAACGAAAACATAACATGTACATAACTATTCGCAGCCTTTGCTCAATACTTGAACTTGTTGAAGCACCTTTGGCAGCAATTACAGCCTCTTTAGTCTTGGTTATGATTCCACAAGCGTGGCACACCTATTTCAGGGTAGTTTCTCCCATTCTTCTTTGCAGAACCTCTCAAGGTCCATCAGGTTGGATGGGGAGCGTTGGTGCACAGCCATTTTCAGATCTCTCCAGAGATGTTCAATCGGGTTCAAGTCAGGGCTCTGGCTGGGCCACTCAAGGACCACTAACAAAGGCCACTTCTTTGTTATCTTGGCTGTGTGCTTCGGGTCGTTGCTCTGTTGGAAGATGAACCGTCGCCCCAGTCTGAGGTCCAGAGCGCTTTGGAGCATGTTTTCATCGAGGATGTCTCTGTACATTGCTGCATTCATCTTTCCCTCAATCCTGACTAGTCTCCCAGTTCCTCCCGCTGAAAAAAATCCCCACAGCATGATGCTGCCACCACCATGCTGCCACCACCATGCTTCACTGTAGGGATGGTATTGGCCAGGTGATGAGCAGTGCCTGGTTTCCTCCAGACATGACGCTTGGCATTCAGGCCAAAGAGTTCAATCTTTGTTTCATCAGACCAGAGAACTTGGTTTCTCATGGTCTGAGAGTCCTTCAGGTGCGTTTTGCAAACTCCAGGCGGGCTGTCATGTGCTTTTTACTGAGGAGTGGCTTCCGTCTGGCCACTCTACCAAACAGGCCTGATTTGTGGAGTGCTGCAGAGATGGTTGTCCTTCTGGAAGGTTCTCCTCTCTTCATAGAACAACGCTGGAGCTCTGTCAGAGTTCCTGGTCACCTCCCTGACTAAGGCCCTTCTCCCCCGATCGCTCAGTCTGGCTGGGCGGCACAACTCTAGGAAGAGTCCTGATGGTTCCAAACTTCTTCCATTTCCGGATGATGGAGGCCACTGTGCTAATTGGGACTTTCAATACTGCAGAAATCTTTCTGTACCCTTCGCCACAGATTTCACGTAAAGTTGCTGTAGGTATAAATTTTTTTGCTGGTGCGCTTAATGCCGACGAGAAAGCACAGTGGCGCATCGTAAAACATCTAATAGTTGATTAATTTAGTATTCTGCGAAATGAGTCTGCGCAATTTAATAGCTGTTTACGGTACGTCGGCTACAGACGCTGACGTCAGGTTGCGTGTCGCCATTACGCGGTTGTCGATGTCAGATTGAAAATGCAAAGAAGATGGAGAAGTGCAAATTTAACGAGAAGTGGATGAAAGAGGATGCATTTAGGAGGTGGTTGGCGCCGTTTGAAAACAACAATGAGGCGATGTGTAAACTCTGCAAAAAGACCTTTTCATTAGGGACGATGGGGCTCAAAGCCGTCGAGTCGCACATGAAAGGAGGAAAGCACCAGCGATACGTTGCAGCAGCTAGCCATAGCGGGGCCAGGTTAATCCCTGCATTGTTTGCAGCACGACGTTACAAGTTCACACGCCACCTCTCAGTCGGCTGTAACAAGTTTCATTTCAACACCAGACACGTAAAAAGGCAGAGGTACTGTGGGTACTCCATACTGTGACAAGGCACAATTCATTTAAATCTATGTGATCACATTTGTGTTTTCAAACGGTTATTAGTGTAATCCAAAGTTATGTATGTTATGTTGGCTCTGTTCTGCATCACAAAGGATTCACTTTGATTGTATTATATCTATATTGGCCAAACAGTGTTGGAAGGGTTATTGTCAGTTCTTATACTGTCTCCTAATTTGAAAACAAGTTTTGATTTCCATTGTAGGAGTCAATAAACTGTGTATTCCAAAGAAATTGTGACATTTTTGGGTCTTAAATTATATTAGTTGAGGTCTTAAAAAGGTCTTAAAAAGCATTCAATTTTACTTTTGAAATGGTGCAAGAACCCTGTGGTATTGGCACCGACTACTGCATTTTTGGTATCGCGACAACCCTAAAGGAGAGAGAGGATGGTGATTGAGAAAGGTAGATAAGCTATTTTATTTTTGACCAAATGTTCTTGTGACTTATGGATAGTGGAATACATATTACTGGTACTGTGGTGTTTACTGTGCTATTGCTTACTGTGCTTACTTTAAGCAACTTTATTCAAAGTCAGTTATTTTATTTCATAGGCATAGTAAATCCGATTTAAAAAGAACAGAAGGCATAATAATGTTGTCAATTTTAAACTGTATTAGATGTAGTTCATGTAACATTGAGAACATTAAAACGTTTTTTTCTCTTAATTTAAGGAGAGCTGCCACAAGATCTACTGTGTTCCTGCTGCGCAACCACCAGTTTCCCTCATCTATTGTAGTAAGTTCTGAGTACAATATCATGAGGGTATTTGATAATTAGATCACTCTCATAAAGAGTCCTTTCCTCTGCCTTTTTTATTTTTCCTCAGTTATCCATGTATGTGGAAATGTAAAGCCTGTGAGAATTCATATTCAAAAAGATCTGAACTTCTGAAACATAAACTTGATCATCATCATTATGGGCGGGTCCGTGCTTACCCCTTGTCTCGCGAGAATTGCCCATGCACTTAACATGGATCGACATAACATGGAAAGCTCTGCTGACTCATCTAATCAATTGCCATCCCACTCTAAAATCCCCACAGGAAGATAGCTTTTCAGCATTCAAGTGCCACATCGGCAACAACAATCAACTTTCTACAGTACAGTTTCTACTGTACTTTTCACTACAAATCCCATTAAAGATGCAGTAGGGAAGGGCGGTCCTCTCTCGACTGCATGGAAAAGGCCCTAACCCTATTATAGAAAAAACTTTAATGTTGTGGAACCCATTGAATATTTTTTAGATCGCAAGCATAAGACTTTTCAGTATTTGCCTTTACTTAAATCCGTGCAGCAACTTTTATACTGTGAAACAACACTAAATAATTTGAATGAAAAACATTCCTTGCAGAGTGATAAGCAAGTATATAGATCATTTGGGGATGGACGCCTATTGCTATTCTCTCAAAAGAATGTGCAATTTCTGTGAATTTGTATGTTGACCACTTTGAAATTTGCAATCCCCTTGGGACATCGCGTAAAAACAATCTGTGCCTTGTATTGGATTTAAGGCACTCTGTCGCCTGGTTGTCACTCCTCACTGTCCTCTATCCATTTGGCTGCATTGATCAATAGCAGTGATGTTAAGGTCTATGGTTACGAAAACGTGTTGGAGCCTTTGATTGCTGATCTCATAACTGGAACATGGGTTTTTTGTGGAAAAGCTGGGAAAAACTTTGAAGAGTACATTCCAGTTTGTTATTGCCGATAACCTTGGCGCACACAGCATTGCTGGTTTTGTAGAGAGTTTTTCTGGCAGCTATATTTGCAGATTTTGTACAGCAGATAGGTCAGAAACGAGGACGAGGAAGTTGGAGCTGGAGCTTTCTATCTGAGAACTGCGGAGATTCACACAAATCATCTGAAAACTCTTGAAGAAAATTCCGTGAACAACTAATATGGTGTTAAGAGTAAATGTGTTCGGTCAGAAAAGCTTACCACTTTCAATGTTAGTAGTGGTTTCCCTTCCGACATTTGTAATGGGAAAATGATATGTGACCCTTTTAAATGCTTCATTTGTATAACCAGTTTATTAGTTGCAAGTGCTTAGGTCACAAAGGCCCTGACATAAGAACTGATGTCTCCCACTTGGATTAGATGTTTCCAGCGTCATAGCTGTAGAGATTGAACAAAGTGTTTGTTATGTCTATGACCACCTTTGTTTTAGCATGTTGGGAGAGCAAGGATACGGTCAAAGAACTGACGTGTCTTACATGGATAAGATGTTCCCAGTACCCTGGCTGTAGATACTCAACAAGATGGTTAACGGTTTCTGTTGACGCCACCGATATCTAAGTTTAGGTATAAGAACTGCCTCGATGTGTTGGGAAGAAAAGGAGGTTCTTGACAGTCTACTGACCACGTAGCTGTTGTGACCCTTTTTCCCTTGCAAGGAAATAAACGGAGAAAAGACATACTTGACTCAGAGCCTTTGTTTCTTACTTAACGGTTGTCTGTGCAAAGTCTTCCACCACACATTGTCCATGATTTATTCGAAGGAATAGTTCCGGTTGAAATATCTCTGTCTGATTGTATTCATTTCCAAAAAGTTTTTCACTTTGGATGCTTTAAACAAGGCAATAGAAGATTTTCCCTTTAAATGAACTGATAAAATCGGCCCCACTCTGTTCCACTGACCTGTGCATCCAGGAAAACAATCGGTGGAAACGGGTTAGTACTTGGACAGAAAGTTCCCACTGATGAACCAACCTAGAAACTCCTTGCAGATTTGAAGGACATTGTAGAAATTGTAACGCATAACCCAGATGATTGTTGTCGAGGATAATCTGCTTTTCATCGTCAGAAAGCTGAGTGCGTGGTACTGAGAACCCATTGGCTGACTACACAATTGGAGGAATGCGGCTGATAACACTCAAAAGATACATACATGTGTAAGGTCAGTCTTAAAGTGGAACACAACAAAAAAGTCATTAAAAAATTTGCTTTAGGGTTTTATTCTCTAACTCCACTACAGTATATTTCCATGATTTATAGTTGATGCTTTTCACTTTTTCAGAAGATGAGGAAACTTCTTGGGCAAACAAAACTGTTTAATTCAGATGCTTTTCAGTGGCGATGAACAGTCAGCCTTCTTAAGGAGGAGGTCTTTGTTCAACAGATTCCTTTTATAATATTGCAGGAGCCAAATCTATTGCACACTGAGAAATGGAACAGGAAAAAAATTCTAGTGCATTGTATATATTATCACCTTAAGTTTAATGTTGAAAATATCAACAAATATTAAAAAGGAACTGATTCATATTTCTCTCTTTGTCTCTCCCACAGGGCACCATGATGGAAAACACACCCGTTCGATTGCTGGTTATCCTGAGTGAAGACAGCAGCGTCAGAATGGAGCTACGCAACGGCATTCCCAATTCACTGGAAGAGTTAATAGGCCGCAATGTGAACACTGTTTTCGTTTCAACCCGCTCCACAGTCGCCCATCTACACAATCTTTAGCTCATAAAAAAGAACAAGTTGTGCTTAGCTACCAAATCAAAGTTCGTCGCTCACTTTCCAGTCAATTTTTGGTGCGTCTATGTTTTATGCCGAACTAGTTTCTTCAGAGCGTAATAGGATCTTGGTCGCGAGTCCCTGGCACTTTTCGACACGTGATCGTTCTACACCAATGAGGTAGCTGCTTTTTGTCAACAGAATGGCAAGATGGCAGCTCCCGTGGTTAGATTCAACGTTACCGATGAAGAGGAAAACACCCGAACATCCTCAAAAGTGGGTTAAATGGATTCTAAATAGTGTTGTATACATAGCCGAGTCCAATAAGAACAATGATACGATAATGTTATGCATTTTCTAAAGGACTTTTCGTGCTTCACATTGCGGCCTATAATCGATGAGGTCAAAAATGCATTTGGATTAGAGGTATTCATAAGGCTGCAGTACAAGGACACATATTTGTGAATCTGCCCTCTACAACTGTAATTAAGGATCTTACAGTTATCAAAGTAATCCAGTTAGACCCTGATTCAACTGTTGTCTTGTACTCACTTGATCCCCCAGTGAGTAGCACCCCTTTGGTTGGACTGGACTTCTCCTATGACACAGAATGTCAACTGCAGAGGGGGATTGCAGAGTACATGAGAAGCCAAACTAGACTGACACCTAGCTCAAAAATGCTGTCAGACATACTGGAGAAAGGAGCTGAAAGCATTTACACATACACATCATACCCTGAAGATTCTGACTTCAGTGATGTTGCTGAAGCACTGACAAAGAAGCACCCCTGCCTGAAAGAACCAGGGTCTTTCAATGAGAGCTATGGTTGGAAGCACAGGATGAAGGCCAACTACAGGACCCAACGTAAGGCACACGGTACATCTGCTGAGGTCACAGTGAATTCTTTGAAATCTCAAGTCTCAAGGGGACTCCTACCCAGCAAAGAACGTCAAGAGATCTAGACGAGCTTCTTCTTTTTTTCAAAACTCTACACACAAAATGCCTCACATCTCCTTCAAAATGCAATAAACACATGTCAGAATGAAGGATTTGCATCAAATGGCAAACACTTCTTTCATAATAATAATTTTTTGGATATACCATGTAAACACTGCTGTTCTAAAGCTAAAGCTCTTTGGTCTTTCATAGTCTTATATATACATTTCAATACAATGTGCTACAGTGAAAGTGATGTGCTGAGAGGGGTAACAAGTACAACGGGAACGCCAATGCAATGTAGAAACAGAAAATATTTATTAGGCCAAAGATTACTGTTGTATACATTAGCATGTACACTATAAACATGTAAACCAAAAGTATATTATTTACAGTAGAATACAGTAAATTGTGTGTGGGGTCCTGGTCCAGGAATTGGCAGGGGAGGAGGGGGGGGTGCAGTCCCGAGTGCTAAGCTTCATCTCTTCTCCGAGCTGGGTCTGGCCACAATACTTCGTCCACATCAAAAGATACGTTTTCTCTTGTCAAACATCGAGGGAAGTATCTCCTAGCATGGCGTATCCAACCTTGGGATATCATGAGTTCCAGTTTTAAGTCCTAAATCGAAGTCCTTTTAAATATCACAACAACTGTGTAGGAGCCATATTGAGCTGTATATGTGTGTGTGTGTGTGTGTGTGACGAGTGAACGAGTAATATGGCCACAGGTCTGTACACGCCACCTAGAGGACGGTTGGGAGGCTGAAGTTGGAGCCCAAGGAAAGGCTTTAAAGACAGGAAGACACAGCAGTGGCCTGAGAGGGAAACAGTCTTTTGACCGTGTGGTGGAGTGACACGAGGGGCATGACGTTACAGGCCGTCTCCCACCATATAAGAGACTGCTTTAGTTTGTTTATTTTCACCTCATGTTTTTGGTTTGTAATTGCTCTTTACATATTAAGAGCAATAAATGGTCATTGCACCGACCTGGATCAACTTCTACTCCTCATCTTTACAAACTGCACGCGTCAAGATATATCCAGCTCAGCCACCGGTAGTAGCTGATCAGGGATTAAGGCCTTTACTACAAGCCTTTGCCTGGATTACAAAAACCCTTAATTCTACCCCTACAGTTGGATGTAGAATAGATTTGTTATTAAAGTGATAATCAAAAGCTCTTTCCCAGTGCTCATTTAGGGAGTCACTGTCTTGAGGAGTCCAAGGCCAGAGGAAAAGCAGAAAATGTCAACCAGGCAGACCCAGGTCAGATAAGGATGAGAGTTAGAGACACACCAAACAACAACACGCACACTTTGTTCACATGTTAGAAGACCACACATTGCATGTGATTGGATCTTGTGGCGAGAGGACCTGCTCCTCCTCGACGCCAGTTTAGGGCCAATAGAAATCTTCTTTTATATCTAACAAGAAATACAAAATGTAATGTTTTTCCTGATATTAGTCCGTTGTTCTTCCAGCCTGCGGGCAACAGAACTGCTCCTGCCTTTGCAAACGCAGCGCTTATATTTTACCTGTAATCTGATAAATACATCTACCAGAACGACAGAAGTCGTTTGGCTGAATCCTTCCAGATGTCTCCAACCGGGCTTCCAATTTTGTTCACGATCTTTCAAAAGGACTCACAGAACTCTCCGTTACGCCTTCTCCTCATCCACTCAATTGGGGTGACTATTGACCTAATTGCCCCTCTAATTAGTATAATACAAAACATAAGGTGAAATAACCAATACAGGTGTGATGAAGATTTTCCCCCTTGCAGTCCTATGAAGGCTATTTGGCCGAAACGTTATTTTCTTTCAACCTTTAGCCATGCTGCTTCTTAAATGTTGGTTCTATTTCCAATATTACATTTTATTCTCTTAATGTTTTTATACTTATTTATCATGAATAAATTTGAGTACTGGATCACGAAAGAACAGATTTGAAAATAACAGCAAGCCTATTGTTCAACGCAAACAAACTCCTTGTCTTTGTGTCCCCCGATTTAAAACATAAAAACCCAAAACTGTAATAACTGAAAAAGAACATTTTCTTTTTCTTACGTGTCCTACTTACCTCTTAAATGTGTTGACAATCCAATGGCTCATCCTGCGGCCATCGGAAGTCATTCTTGAGCGGAAGGGATGCTCTAAAACCGGCCCTTGCTAACGGAAATAATTTGGAGAACTATCGGCGGGCCTGCAGGATTTGCCCCCCTTGGATACGGCGGCAATGGACAAAGTGATTTCATATGGCAGAGGTTACTGCAAAAAACTACTTGCCAACTCGTCCATTGCTATCTGGTCCACAATGCTGGAGGGCAGGTGTTCTGTTGATTTTTGCTGCTTTGTTCTCCTCTACATAAATCGATATCGATTTACCGAAATCTGTATAGATTTATGGTTTTCTACCTCTGTACATCAAATTATTATTTTGATAGCACAATAACACCTTATCAAATATTGCTCCCTCTACTCAATGCAGTCATGTAAGACTGCTAATCACCTCACCCCCACTGTAGGATGAATGGCATCATATTCATCACATTTTTGAAAGTACAATCCACATTTTTTAGGTTTTCATGCCTTTTAATGACAGGACAGGAATGAAGGAGAGACAAGACATGGAAGGCAGAGAGAGGGGGGGTGACACGCAGTGAGGGACCGTCGATGTGGGATTTCAACCGCCTGCACAGACCACTGCGCCACTGAGAGCCCCGCAAACACATTTTGGGCATTTGTATGGTGTGCCACTGTTTTTGATGTAACCGGCCGCACCTACAAAAAAGGAAATGATATATGTAAATGGTAATAACCAATACAAAGCACTAGGGCTGGGCAATTAATAGAAAAAGAATCAAAACTGACATTTTATAAACTAAAACTGACTTAATCTTGCTCATGTCAATTAATTGTGGTTTTAACTCTTGCATATATTTGAGGAAATTGAAAGCTCCAGTTTATACTTTTAACCCAACCCATGATCTTTTCATAGCCATATTCAAGTGGGTTTTGTGCCCTAAAAAGCACCAATGATATGATACTTTACCATTTCGAACACGCTGGTATCTCCATCTGTTTCCAGATAGGAGCACACCACGCAGTATCATCTGCATTCCCTGTAAACCATGGATTTTTAGATTTACAACTAAATGTACAAAGCACAATTTGTACATACATAGTAAATAATAAGTAAAGTAAACTGATTTATAAAGTAAAATCAGTGTTCGATATCACTGACCTTTTGACTGAAGCAGTGCACAAGCTTGTGCAACAAGTTTTGATAAGCTAGATCTAACCATCAACACCAAAATGCCACAGCTCCAGGCGTCCTGCGGCATTTTCTGGACTGCCCATTTTTCTGTGTGTTGTTGACAGTTTGCCTTCTGCAAGTACTTTCTAATTGTCAAAATCAGTAAAAAAAAAGACACATACACACACACACAACGGTTGTGTATCATGAAAACTTTTCATCGTTATCAACACTTTAAACATGAATGTAAAATTGATTGATTGGCATACAAAGATAATTAATGTGTTTCTCAACCCTAAACAACATTACCTCCCAGTTTCGCAGTACTTTCCTCTCATATGAACCCTCATTTCCCACTGGATCGATGAGCAGACCTTGAGAATTTGACAGTGTGACAAGCTTGCCACTGACATGTCTAATTAAATAAGAACCAGAGAAATCCGGCTCAATTTTGCCTCCTTTCCTCATGTTATAAAGCAGGACCTCATCACCAACATTGTACGAGATCTGTTTGTGTTTTTTCAAGACTTGTTTGGCATAAGCCTGCCTTTGCCTTTCTTGGCTGTTTTCGATTTTGCCTACTGCTTTTAAATTTGCAATCTCCATTGCCTTTTGCTGTTCCCGAAGTACCACATCACACTTGTTTTCACTTGGTACGGTAATGGTTGAAAGCTGAAATAAAAAAATATGAAAATGTTACTTGAATACAAACGTGAATATTCAATGCCAAAAAGGACATGACTGAGCCTTTGTCGAAAATTGCTGCCACTGCATAAACAGATTGGTCTGGTCTGTCTATCAATTTGAAACAAACTAAAAAAAATGCAACGCTACTTTAAGGTTTTTAGCTCTGTATACAATAAAAGGCATAATAATATATACTCTCAGAAGTATTAATGGCAGCATATTACGGGTGTCAAGAGTTTAAAAAAAGAAACTCATAGAACACTTACCGGCAGGTCAATAGGAACCTGGGCGGGGAAAACTGTCTCTTGTCCATACATGAACATAAATGCTGTATGTTTTGTTGTTGTATGGACTTTGGATCTTAATGAAAACAATGTTGCCTCCAAGAAGACATCCCAGTTGTCCTGCCTTTCTTTACAAGTTTGGCGAGGGCTCTAAGATGTGAAATGAAGCAAGATAAACCAACAATTTAGTGCCATATGTATCAGGAATCATTTATTACCAAAATATGTCAAACATACAAGGAATTTGTCTTGGCGGTAGGTGCATGACAGACAGTGTAACAATAGACAACAAGACAGCAGTGCACAAGTAATAAAATAAAGTAAAATGAAATGCTAATGCAATGAGTTAGTAAAAAAAAAAAGAATATGGGTTAGTATAAAACAAGGGAATAAAGTTAAAGTTAAAAATTTAAAATATTAAAAAAGTTAAAATATTAAGCATAAAGTGCATTAGCGAACAAGTAACAAAGTGACGACAAAGTGATAATTTACAGTTAAAGTGACATGTGCAGTATGAAGGGGAGTGACCGGTGGAGTGTTATAGTCAGTCAGTGGGGGACCGGCTCTGTTGATGAGCCCGACTGCCGACGGGAAGAAACTGTTCGTGTGGTGGGAGGTCTTAGTCCTGATGGACGTCAGCCTCCTGCCAGATGGAAGGGGCACAAACAGGTTTTGTCCGGGGTGAGAGGGGTCGGCTACCATCTTTTTAGCTCGCTTCAGAGACCTGGAAGCGAACAAGTCCTGCAGGGACGGCAGATTGCAGCCGATCACCCTCTCTGCAGAGCGGAGGACACGCTGCAGCCTGCCCTTGTCCTTGGCTGTGGCTGCAGCGTACCAGACGGTGATGTAGGAGCAGAGGATGGACTCGATGATGGCCGTGTAGAAGTGGATCATCATCGTCTTTGGAAGGTTGAATTTCTTCAGCTGCCTCAGGAAGAACAACCTCTGCTGAGCCTTCTTTGTGATGGAGCTGATGTTCAGCTCCCACTTGAGGTCCTGGGTGATGATGGAGCCCAGGAAACGGAAGGAATCCACAATAGTGACTGGGGAGTCACACAGGGTGATGGGGGAGGGTGGGGCTCTGTTCCGCCGGAAATCCACAACCATCTCCACTGTCTTTAGAGCGTTGAGACTCCCACCTGTAGGCGGACTCATCCCCACCAGAGATCAGTCCAATGAGGGTGGTGTCATCCGCAAACTTGTGACTGGTGACTGGAGGTGTAGCTGTTGGTGTACAGGGAGAAGAGCAGAGGGGAAAGAACGCAGCCTTGGGGGGAACCGGTGCTGATGGTCCGAGAGGCTGAGACATGTTTCCCCAGCTTCACGTGCTGCTTCCTGTCAGACACACCTATCATGCACTGCATACAGCAATCAGTGCAGAGTACAAACAGCTTTTCTTTTTACCTGTATTTTAACAGGCAAGTTAATTGAGAACAATTGTTCATTTACATTCACAAAAAAACTGTTTACTTATCAGGTTTTTGTAAAGGTCATACCGTTTGATTGCTGTGATTGTTTTTCTCATCCAGGCCATTTGTTTGTGGATGATAGGCTGCTGTTACACTCCTATCTATGCCCAGCATCTCTCAGAGGTTTGTGTTAAGCTGAAAATACAGGAATTATTTAAAAAAATGTACATAACCCCACAAAGTTGTAAGTTCAGGATTGTACACGTGCATACTTGATTAACAAACTCCCTTCCCTGATCCGAAAGGATTCTTTTTGGACAACCATGTCGATAGATCATGGAACAAATATGGAGTCCCACTTCTGCTGCCGGTTTGGTCCGCAATGGAAATGCTTCAACCCACTTGGAAAAGTAGTCTGTGGCAGAATATATTCAAACCCATCCCCAGTTTTGGGAAAAGGTCCGGTCAAATCAATTCCAACAAGCTCCCAGACAGCAGACACCTAATGAAGTAAAACAAAATGACTTGAAAGAGGAAATAATCGGGATTTTGAGGATGTTACTCACCATTAACACGTCGTTCACCGACAGGGTTGCAAAATATTATGGGCGTGTCAAGGAAACTTGGAGACAAAGTAGCAGTTCTCGACAAGTAGCAGAAAATGATAGAACACAGGGCCTGTCGGTGCCTGGAACTGAACATGGTCCAATCTGACACCAGGTCAGTACTGGACTCTAACCCTGCCCGCCGGGCTTGATCTGGGCCAGACCACTGCCTTCAGTTGTTGCCTCCCTGAGATCGGTGATCTGGATTCCGACTGTGCTCAGTTGGAAAGACTGACTCAAAGGGCGGCCCGAGCTGTATGAGGGCAAAAATTCACCTGGATCGAATATTCCCCTCCAAACCCAACAATCCATGAAACTATCTGGACTGGATTGAGCAATCACTAGAAGACACCTCACACCAACTCACCTGTTACTCATGATTTGAGGGACCCAACATAAGTACTTACCAATGGACGATAACGTTTTAATAAATATACATTAGGTATAGTCCAGACATGGGCAAACTACGGCCCGCAGGCCACATACGGCCCGTTAGGCTTTTTAATCCGGCCCGCCGAACGTGTCCAAATTATAGTAAAAACCTTCTTTTTTTCCCCTTTCCCTGCAATGCCCACGTTTCCCCAATAGATGGCGCACTCAAAACACATTGACCGTTGTTGGAGTGGCGCGTATTTCTCTTTATTTCACTTTAATTTTCACTTCGTTTCACGTCACCATTAAGCCCTTCTGTGAAAATGAGCGGACCAAAGAGAAGGAAAGTGGACAGCGAATGCCGAGTGTTTAATAAGGAGTGGACAACAAAATACTTCTTCACTGAAGTCTGATCAACGGCTGTATGTCTGATATGCCAAGAAGCTGTTGCGGTTTTCAAAGCGTACAATATCAGCCGTCACTTTGCCACGAAGCATGCAAACTATGCTAGCAAGCAGTCAACACAAGAACGGGCGGCTACTGCTCAGAGGTTGGCAGCTAATTTACAGAGTCAACAGAATGGTGAGTTTTTCTGCTGTGTTATGAAAAAATGCATATGGAAAGTTTGGAAGTGCGTCTTTTAATTAAGAGCAATGCGCATTTATGCACAGCAGCGGTACAGTAGCTTAATTAACACGCCGCACATTGCTCTTAATTTACATTTTCAGCTGCAGGTAGTATATTTAATACAGCCTATGTCTGTGTGCTTGGCAACGATACACGTGTACTGTTTGCGCGTGAAGGCGAGGGCGTCCGTGGCGAGTTTGTAGAGCGCGCGGTCAGGACAATCCATCCATGATTTTGCGGAGTTTAACACAAGTAGATATTATTGAGCTTGAGTATTTCGTTGTGTAATAATATGTTTTGAATGTTGAAAGTGATTCCATTTTTCAATAAATGTTGATTTCTTTAACTTTGCACCTTCGATTGAAACTTATTAAAAACAGACGCAATCTTGATAAATCACAGTGCGTATGTTATTTTAATCTATTTACATTTCCTCCTCCCAGTATCTGCGAAATAGTATGTAAATGCCCAATTTATTAACCGATAAGGGCTATTTTTCACATTTCAAAGACAGTTAATAAATTGGGTTGTAGTGTTCTTACTGTGCTATGAGGTTTACACACACTACATTTAATGCTTTAGTATATCCGGCCCAAACACTCCCTCCAAATGCTCCTGGCGTGGCCCCTCTGTCAAATTTTAGAACCCATTGTGGCCCGCGAGTCAAAAAGTTTGCCCACCCCTGGTATAGTCTGTCTTCAGACTAAAGTTTTTAAATAACCATTTTAGAGAGAAACTTTTTATAAAAATGTTGTAATTATAAAATTAACATTTGTTGAAAAACCTAACACCCCCCCCCCCCCCCCCAAACTGAAATAGTGAAACACCGCAACACTGTACTTCTGCGGAAGTTAACGAGGCGCAGTTGACTCTGACTCTGACTTGACGAGCTCTGTCCCGTTCACCTGCACGTTAATGTTGACAACCCTGATGCGTTTATTGGACGCACATTGCATATCCATATGACTTATGTACAGTGCATATTCATGTGCACGCACACAATATTCTTGCTACATGGAGGTTAATCGTGGGGACCCTTTTTTTTTTTTAGCAAAATAATGCCATGCCAAAACATCACGTTGATTCTCAAATGTCTCAAGTTTAGACAGTTGATATTTGTAGTTTTTTTTTGCTACCACAGTAGGAACGTACCTATTCCGTCATTACAAATCACCACCACGGGACAGTGTTCAAAATGTGTCTTAACCTACTGCTTTGCCAATAGATCCCCATTGTGGGGTGGCAGTTGAGTGTCCTCTCACCTCAAGGATGTTTTCAAACTTGGGGTTTTCGTTATATAAAATCCACAAGAGATTAAGTAAACACAATTTTTAGTGTCTAAATCTGAGTTAAGGATTTAAACACCTCATTGTTCAACACCCACCTTTTTGTGTTTGAAAAAAGATTCTTTTCCTAGATTTAGGTTTTGAAATTGGCCTGATTATTGACTTAACTAAATAGGTGTCATGTTTTTGTTCTAAAATTTGAGGACAGAACTTCCCTCTAAATGAATGTGTTAAAATTGGCTCTGATTCTGGTGGATGGTGAATATGTAGGGCTAGTTACCAGTAATCACAAAGAATATTAAAACAAATTTAAAAGTACCAAGTTGACAGGTCAACCCCATGTCCAATGCAGACACCATCGGCTTATCAGGCTCGGACCTCTGCAGTGCCGCAAGTTCCTTCACAATGGCTCTTGGCCTGTTTAGTGAT